CACAGTCAAATGCTGCAAAGGGTGCTGGAATTGAGCTCCTGAAAGATGCAATAACCTGCTTGTGAGCTCACAGTTGAGGCCCTTCTCCCTTACACGCTCAGTTGCAAGTACCAACTTGCCCTTCCCAATTCTTGACATGGAAAAGCCTTCCTAGACTTTCTGGCAGAGTCACAGAGTCAGTTGCTACGTCCCCCACACTCCCTTGTGTTGTCCATTTCCACAACAATTCTATGCATTGCTGCTTATTGAGCATTTACTATGAGCTTAAGGTACATTTCATCCATACAATGAGGCAGGTACAAGTATCATAACAGTTTTACAGGTGAGTTAACCTCCCCAGAGAGATTAAGTAACTTTTCCAAGAGGTCACAATTCAGTATCGTTAAGACTTAGCCATGCTGCAAAGCACATGTTCTAAAAATCTAAATCCCAGAGCCCTGTTGCACAGAACAGCCCTATCGACGTGTCTGTTTCCTTCTCTGTTGTAAAAGGATATTATCATTTAGGAATTTTTTTCAATGCCAAGAACAGAAACCCCAACCTAGAGCTGGTTAAACTATGAGAGAAGTCCAGAAGAAGGACAGCTCCAAAGAAGAGTAACACGTGGGCATGGTAACCTCAGCACGTATCCTGGTTCCTTCCCTCCTGCCGCCCACCTGCCTCACTGTGTGCACTCAGTTCCCGTTGTAATTATCCAATCACTTTCTCGATCAAGGCTTCCCATCTAGATCTGAACCACCCAGAAAAGAGGCCACATCTTTCTTGTGTCTCTGAAATAGTATGGGTATCTTTTCCAGAAACTTCCCCCTGGACTCACCAACAGTCTCACTGGCCAGGTTAATCCTGCATGTCTACATCAGGGGACTGAAAGTACCAGACAGCCTTAGTCCAATCAGCACTTGGCCTCCCTCAAGTCAGGTACAGAAGAGAAAGATGAAGACCAAGTGAGTAGGAGCGAACAAGGTGGAGGATGAAGGCAACAACATCCTGGATCCAGGAACAGAAGTGTGATGCCCCTTCGCTTGCCATCCAGTTCTTTCACCTGTAGAATGCGAGTGACTAATATCACTTAGTTAAATTAAACTAAATTATAGTAGAAAAAGAAACTCAAGTCCCCAGATAGCTGGTCCAGGATTTTTACCATCAAATCCTGTAACTGGCCCAGAAATAAATGCTGGCAACTGCTCTAAAATTTGCCTTTAGATTCTAGTATCTAACATCAGTGGATCCAGAAATCTTTTTTTCAAAAGCAGGCCTGAAAGACAGCTACAGAGAATAAAGAGAATCCTAAGAGTGTTAGCCTCGCCATAATTTAAAGGGTTCATGTCAACCCTGACTTTCTTTCCAGAACTATAATGTGTTTCTAAACGTGGTCTTGTTCAGACAGGACAATCACACTCACACACTGTCATACCTCCTGCCTATTCCATTTCGAACCATCTAGTAGAATGTACCGGAATCAGGAGGACATACTTGAATAACTGCCCTGGACATCCAAGGATATATGAAATCGGGCAAACACATTTCAAAAGATTCAGGTCCTGGTCCAATAGAAAAACCAACAAAAACCAGAAATATATTCCCCAGGGAAAAAGCAACAGGCACAGAGGTCTTAGTTGGGACTACTTAAAGAACACTTGTTTCTCACAGTTCTGGAAGCTAGAAAGCCCAAGATGAAGACTCCAGGCCAAGTTCACAGACAGCAGTGTCCTCACTGTGTCTTCCCACAGCAAGCAGGATGCTGGTGAGTTCTCCGGGGCCTCTTCCATTGAAGCCATAATCCCATTCCTGAGGGCTCCACCCATAATCCCATTCTGCTTTGTTTTGTTTTATATTTTTTTTTTTTGAAAGTGATAACTACAGAAAAAGATACACAGAGAAAGAGAAAGATCTTCCATCAACTGGTTCACTCTCCAGATGGCAACAGAAGCCAGAGCTGGGCCAGCCAAGGTCAGAAGCCAAGAGCTTCTTCCAGGTCCCCTACATGGATTCAGGAACCCAAGCACTTGGGCCAGCTTCCACTGCTTTCCCAGGCACATCAGCAGGGAACTGGATCAGAAGTGGAGCAGCCCAGACTTGAAGCAGCATCCACACGGACTGCTGGTGTCACAGGCATCAGCTTAACCTGTCACACCACAGCACTGCCTCCCCTCCCCCAACCAGCTCCACTTCTAATATCATCACATTGGACATTTGAACTTCAACATTTGAATTTTGGAGGGTGAGGGCTACCAACATTCAGTCTGTAACAAAAGGACAAATAATGAAACTGTAACCCAGAAAGTTAAAAAGCAACCCAAGGTCAGAAAACAGCCAACACAGGAGTCAGATCCAGTTTTGAGGTATATTATACTCCTGACTTCATCCTTTCCCCTCCTCCTCTTTGTAGAAGCATCTAGAAAGGTGAATTTGGGGGCCTCTGAGAGGGACCTGTAACTCAGGAGAGCCAGGCAAGGTCAGGAACGAGGGAAGAGCTGACCGTACATCTGCACGCTAAGGAACTTGCTCGAGTTTCCATCAGTGCAGACTGCTCTGGCACCGCGGAGAGACAGAGTCAGCCCATCCGGTGAAGGGGAAGAGCTTAGCCAACTTCCGTCAGGAACACGGCTGGGAGCTGCCAGGACTTGGGGTGTCTGGGTTTTACAGTCAGTCTTGTCAGATTGAAAATCAGGGGCTTGTTCCCGCATTCATTGTGCAGAGCTCTCACAAGCAACTGCTCCCTTTAAGATGAATGAAAACTGCTCACTTTCCGTTCTTTAGTAACAAGGTGCTTTAGTAAAAAAAAAAAAAAAAAGAAGAAGAAGAAGAAAAAGAAACAAGAACCACCTTAACGCAGGGTGATGCAGAGCTCCACCTCATTAGCATTCAATGATCAACTAGGTGTCAGGCTCAGGGCCCGTGCAGCCATAGGAGCCCCATGCAGCTTACAGCAAAGGAGCCTGGCAATTAATGCTGCTCTGTTAGCTGAAAAGACAGAGTCAGCCGTCTTGGATTTCTCACAGTCTCTAGGATATGGCTTGGTCCATAGTAGCCATTTCATATACTTGGAGTTTAATTTATGGTGCGGTAAAAAAAAAAAAAAAGCATATCCCTCACTCTAATTAGGTGATATTCTACTTATGCCCACAAGGTGGAGATCTTGCTTAAACCAAGCTGAAAGCCCCGCTTTTTTTTTTTTTTTTAGGGTAAAAGTTAACCAAAAGAAGAAATTTATTGTGTGCCTATTTAATGCAATGAACAATGTTAGGTACTAAGAGAAATTAAAACCTCGGTAAAACAGTCCCTGCCTTCTAGGGGAAAATGGGGGCGGGAAATCGTCCAGGGCAAAAACAGAATAGGTTCTAATGAATTAATACATTTCGACTCCTCCGCATGGGAGGCACAGTAATCTCATCACAGAGATAGGCCCCAGGGCGGTTGGAAATGGATTCAACCAAGATCAACACGCTCCAACCAGTGTCTATTTCCACACCAGTGGCAAGACATCGTGGTTACACTGGGTCAGCACCGGAAGGCTCCAAAGGCGCTTTTATGGTGTCTCTGCTTAGCCACAAACATCGGAGTGTCCGTCCTGCGACTCCAGAACATTCTTTCTTACCAGAATCTGCCAGCTAATGAGACCATACAGTTGAAACTCTCCTGTGCACCGTATGGAGGATTTTAAATAACACAAAAGAAGCAACTGGAAGGAGACAGACTTCATACTCTGGCTTTCAAAAGACAGAGGCTCCACCCTCGTTCTAACACCTTGTCTGGCTTGAGTATCACCTGAGTCTCCAGGTTTAGATCTGGGACACAGCAGGGCAGAAAGGGAATGGAAAGAACAGACTGCTTTCCAAGGGCCCGCATTCCTGGTAGATTGAACCTCAAGCTCCACTCCACCCCCATGTCTCTTTCCTTTAAACCATTAAACCAGTTCTTTCAAACGCAGTTATTTGTGTTCAATTGGAAATCGCATTTGGGGAATAAATGACTGACAGGTGACAGCGGGGTAAGAGGGGAGGGAACGGGATCCTGATTTGATTAAAATATTTAACTTTCTCATGTGCCTCGCAGCCAGGAGCCCTGGACATGGCTTTGAACCTGTCCACTGGCTAACCGTGGGGTCTTGCTCAAGCCCCCCTTTTCTCAGTGCCTCGGTTTCCTGGCAGGCACAACAGTATCTTTTTTCACTCTTTCCTAGCACGAGGTTGGGTCCCAGGCAAGAATGCTCTCAAAGCAGCAAGGAACGCCAGGGGCAATGAAAAGTGGGTGAGTTTAGGGGACCGGAACTCTGGCTTTTGCCACCTGTGAACAGAACCAGGGAGTGGCTTTCCTGAAGGATCCAACAACGAATGGGATCCAAGTGATCCACGCGCAGGGAAAGGTTTCACGCCCCGTGAGTCCCTTGGGAAAGGTCAATTTCAAAGCTCGCAAGAGCGCAATGACCTACGGCAGTGAGCGCGCCCGATAATTTAAAAAAAAAAAATGGGGTTGGGGGTGCCGGTGCAAAGTTGTGATCCACCGGGGATTCTTCTGCTCTCTAGGGGCACAGCCTCTGTGGCTCCGGGAGAATTCCCCGCGTCTGCCACCGGGCAACGAGAACCGCACGGTTGCAATCCGAGAAAGCCAGCGGGACCCGCCCAGACTCGCCCCGCTGCGCTTCTCCGGAGCGCCGAAGGGCTCGGACGGAACTTCCCGGGGAGACCTGGCGCTGGCCACGCCAGCGACCCGGGCTGCACACCAGCCCGCCAGGGCCCGGCCCGCCGCAGGCTCCAAGTCTGCGCTGCGGGCTCCCAAGCCCCGGTGCGGGCGCGGCAGGCTCCGCCGCTTCCTACCCCCGAAGTCTACGGCCCCGGAGAGGGACCCTGTCCTGGGCTTGGAAGCAGCCATCGCCGCTTTAAGGGGAAGAGGTGGGGAAGGGGGCGGGGAGAGGCGGCGGCGGAGGGGGAGGAGGAGCCCCCTGGCTCCCACGTGGTCCGCGCGCCTGTGAATCGCGCCCGCCGGAGGGTCTCACAGCGAAATACAAAAGCAGCTGGGAAGCGGCGGCCGGGCGAGTTCCCAGCGGCGGACAGAGCCCCGCAGCGCCCGGCGGCCGCCATGGGGCCGAGACGCCCGAAGCCCCGGAGCCAAGCAGCGGCGGCTGCCCGGCCCACCTCGCCGCCGGGACCCGGGCGCCCGTGCTTGGCTTGAAGCGGCGGCACCGGCACGGCCGCAGGAGCATGGGCAGGAGGATGCGGGGCGCCGCCGCCACCGCGGGGCTCTGGCTGCTGGCGCTGGGCTCGCTGCTGGCGCTGTGGGGCGGGCTCCTGCCGCCGCGGACCGAACCGCCGGCCTCCCGACCCCCGGAGGACCGAGTCCCGCGGCTCCCAGGCGGGAGCGGAGCCCGGGCACCGGCGCCGCGCTTTCCTCTGCCCCCGCCCCTGGCGTGGGACGCCCGCAGCGGCTCCCTGAAAACTTTCCGGGCGCTGCTCACCTTGGCTGCCGGCGCTGACGCCCCGCCCCGGGGGCCCGCGGGCGAGCGCTGGCGGCACGTGCCAGCCGGATGGTCCGGACCGGAGGAGAGGGCTGCGGTGCACGGGGGCGTCTTCTGGAGCCGGGGACTGGAAGAGCAGGTGCCCCGAGGGTTTTCCGAGGCCCAGGCGGCGGCGTGGCTGGAGGTAGCTCGCGGTGCCCGGGTGGTGGCCCTGGAGCGCGGGGGTTGTGGGCGCAGCTCCAACCGACTGGCACGCTTTGCCGACGGCACCCGCGCCTGCGTGCGCTACGGCATCAACCCCGAGCAGATCCAGGGCGAGGCCCTGTCCTACTACCTGGCGCGCCTGCTGGGCCTCCAGCGCCACGTGCCGCCGCTGGCGCTAGCCCGGGTGGAGGCGCGGGGCGCGCAATGGGCGCAGGTGCAAGAGGAGCTGCGCGCCGCTCACTGGACTGAGGGCAGCGTAGTGAGCCTGACGCGCTGGCTGCCCAACCTCACGGACGTGGTGGTGCCCGCGCCCTGGCGCTCTCAGGACGGCCGTCTGCGACCCCTGCGCGGCGCTGGGGGCGAGCTGGCCAACCTCAGCCAGGCGGAGCTGGTGGACCTGGTGCAGTGGACCGACTTGATCCTCTTCGACTACCTGACGGCCAACTTCGACAGGCTCGTAAGCAACCTCTTCAGCCTGCAGTGGGACCCACGCGTCATGCAGCGCGCTACGAGCAACCTGCACCGCGGCCCCGGTGGGGCGCTGGTCTTTCTGGACAACGAGGCGGGCTTGGTGCACGGCTACCGGGTGGCAGGCATGTGGGACAAGTATAACGAGCCGCTGTTACAGTCGGTGTGCGTGTTCCGCGAGCGGACCGCTCGGCGAGTGCTGGAGCTGCACCGCGGGCAGGACGCAGCGGCCCGGCTGCTGCGCCTCTACCGGCACCACGAGCCTCGCTTCCCTGAGCTGGCTGCACTCGCCGATCCCCACGCTCAGCTGCTGCAGCGCCGCCTCGACTTCCTCGCTAAGCATATTTTGCACTGTAAGGCCAAATACGGCCGGCAGCCAGAGACTTAGCATCCATCCGGAGAAACAGAGACTCAAGACTGGACTGTGGATGGTGGGGGAAGGGCCATCGCTTCGGCCACCCCGCCCGGGGACCAGCAGCCAACGCCCAGCCAGTGGTCCAGATGTGTAGGTGTCTAAAACTTGAGCTTCGTCCACCTGCCCCTTTCAAGCCCGCGCTGTTTCCTTTCAAAGTTCTGGGCGCAAGAACTCACCGAGGCGGGAAGAGCAACATTCCCTCCACCCAGTTTATAAAAGGATTCTATTGCCAGCGTGAGACTGGATCCGGAGCATCTGGCTCCTGGGGTCTGTCCCCTGGGTGGCTGTCTGTGTGGGAGATGTACCCCATGCTTGTCCCCCTACCCTCCACCTCCGCCCCAATCCTCTTCCCGAAAAAGGAAAACTTCCGTTTGAGCCCTTGAGCTAATTCTGCAGTTGCCCTCCCCAGCCCCGCGCTCTCGTGGCCGCTGAGCCGGGCTGTGACATTGGCTGGTGGAGCCCCCTTCCTGTGTTCTGCCTTTGTTCCAGCGCGGCGGTGGTGAGATCATTATTGGGAGCTGGGGAAGGGTTCTGATAGGACAAAGGGAGCAGGACCTTGAGCCTCCGGGAGCCTGCTGACCCTGTCCACCCTGTCCGTGGTCTGACTCATTGCTGACCTCTTATTCTGACCTGCAGGACTGGTCTTATGCAGTGAATCAAATCATGAATTTCTTCTTCCTCCCTCCTCACAACCGACCAAAATTTTGACAATGATGCTGTTTCACCCGGAAAGAAAAAAAAATATCAATTTCATGCACTTTACTTTGTCTTTATTTTAATTTTTTTAATGGAGAAAAACTTTTTTATTTGACAGAATTTGCCTTCTGTGTATATATGTGCATAAAATGTGGTGTAAATATACTAAACAGACTTATATTTCAATAAAAGGGAGTTTAAAATTTAGAGTTTTAATTTCTGTGGCTTTCACTGTTTGGAGCCCCTGCTACTTTGAGACTAAGCGGCAGGCTCTCCCTGTGGTGGGTCTGCTTATGAGACAAAGGATGCGTATCCGTGCCTGTTGTGACTACCGATTTCACAGGAATGAAGGCAGACAAAACCCTGGTGCTGGGAATCTTGAGTTCAGTCTCGAATGTAGGGGGGAAGTGGAGAGAAGGCTGGGAGAACAGTGTTCTGGTTCCTGATAGGAAAAGATTTCACTGCAATATATTTCTGTCTTAATCATTTAACCAATATGATAGAAGCAGAATACAGACTGAAACCTAACAAATGCCTTCTGAACCTGTCCCGGAATGTGGCATGTTATCTTCAGCATTGGGACAGTGGAGAAGCTGAGCACATATTGCAAACAGATAGAAAAGGTCGTAAATTAATACCTCTCTTTAATCTGCTGGCATAGACTCCATTGCATTCAGGAGACCATAATCTCCAACATCTGGACTCATCCAGTTTCTTGAAAAGTGGTTCTGTGGTCCAGGGACTAGCTGCCTGGCGCCCTAGTAACAGACATCCTGAGACTTAGGAAAGTGCACACTTCTTGCTTTGTGTGTGGACCCTTCCAGGGACTTTAAGCATGGTTTTGGGCTTTTGGGTGCAGCACTCAAGTGGATATGCTTTTGTTTCTCTGAAAGCCCCTGGGTGTTGTGTCCTGGCATCTGTGCCTCAAGCCTCAGTGATCTTGCCTGTTCATTTGGTTTGATGACTTTTTAACTCAAAGCTGTTTTGGGTTACAATTTTAATTGTTTATTAATTTGAGCAAACTTAGGATTTTATAGACTCACAAATATATTAAATCTCAGGGGTCTTCATCATTCTGAGTTCAAGGACAGTGTCTAATTTAACTATTTTATATCCATATTCTTTCAGTGCCTTAGCCTAAGTCAAATCTTAGCTGGGGAAAAAAGAAAGAAAAAAAAAAACCAAGTCCATAAACTATATGTAGTAGATATCAAAAGTTTTTTCACAGTACAGCCAAAGAATGTACTGATAATAACAAATGGTTTTTTTCTAAAGATTTATTTTTATTATTATTTTTTTTTATTGGAAAGGCAGATATACAGAGAGGAGAGACAGAGAGGAATGTTTTCCATCCGGTGATTCACTCCCCAAGTGACCGCAATGGCAAGTGCTGTGCCAGTCCAAATCCAGAAGCCAGGAGCTTCCCCAGGTCTACCATGCCGGTGCAGGTTCCCAAAGCTTTGGGCCGTCCTCGACTGCTTTCCCGGGCCAGAGCCAGGGAGCTGGAAGGGAAGCAGGGCTGCCAGGATAGAACCGGTGCCCATATGTGATCCCGGGCGTGCAAGGCGAGGACTTTAACCACTTGCGCCACCGCGCCAGGCCCATGTCTTTTTTTTTTTTTAATGTGTATTTTTTTGTCAAGACATCAATGTGAGACCTCTGATAACTGCACCTTTCAGAAAGTAACATTTGCCATTTCTGATGGATGACAATGAAATTTGCTGCCTGCACCCGTGGGCAGCCACCTTAGGGAAAGCATACGCATGTGACACTTTTGCATTGTACCTGGTATGTCTCTCAAGAAAAAAAACAATGAGCAGAAGGAAGCTGGAAGGCCCACTGCCCAGGAAATGCACCCTGCCTCCCACGTGACTTCAACACTGCCCAGTTCTGGACCAGCAACATTCCCTGCATTCCTCACAAACTTCGGTTCCAAGCCCAGACTTGAACCTAGCAAACCCAGAGCAAGACAGTGAGCTTAATTTAAATAGCTTTTCTCAGATTCTTTAGTGAACCATATCTGCCAGTTGGAGGATAAGTTTAATTACATGGTGGAGTTGTTAGGGGAACCGAGACTTCATTACGGAGAACCCTTTTAACTATTGCTATTCCTAATGGGTAATCGGAAGGCTGTGGAATGGAAAGATCAATTAAAGTTTTGCCATGGTCAGTAAATACTGCTTGGGACAAATCATTTCCCAAATGAAAAAAAAAAAAAGTTTCGGGCCTGATTTGCAGAAAGTAATGAGTTCTGCAGGCAGACTGTCTTCTGAGTTCTGTCCCTCACCTATTTACCTTCAGCTAGCTGCTGAGTTTAGTTCCCTCATCTGTGAAATGGAGATTCAATCAGAGTGTCCTGGGATTTAAATGTTAACATATAAAACATACAGGCACATAATAGGCACTTCCAAAAAAAAAGGAAAGAAGAAACCTCATTTCTTATTTCTCTTCTAAAGAGAAAAAAAAAATCTTAACCTTTCTTGTACTTCAGTAAAATTCTGCTAATTTTTATCATCAAAACCAAATGTAGGGAGAGGTGCTTGACCAGGCAGGTCAGAGTGAGTGCTTGCATGCTGTATCAGAGTTCCTGGGTCCAAGGCCCAGCTCCACCAGCTCATTGGATCTTGCTGCTACTGCAGGTCCTGGCAGGCAGTGGCGAGAGCTCCAGTGACTGAGTTCAATCACCCACGTGGGAGACACAGTTGGAGTTCCTGGCTCCTGGTTTTGACCTAGGCATGCTGGACGTTTGTGGAGTGAGCCAGCAGAAGGGAACTCTGTCTACCTCTCCCTCTCTGATTCTCAAATAAATAACAATTAAAAAAAAAAATAAAAACCTAGCTGCTTCCAAAGTCAGGATCATCTTTTGATGGGTACTAATCAAAAGCTCACATTAGCTCAGGAAATTATCCATTAAGGACTTGACGGCACCATGCAAGGCTCCAAGTCGCAGCTTGATATCCCCATGGTTTTGGGTGGGTGGTCTCTGGACCAAAGGAGATCTCCTACACCGAAGAAGCTATACTACAAATATACGAGGAGAATTTTTTTTTTAAAAAGCAGAACAAAGTAGGTGGCTCATTGCAAATCCATCACCACTTATGGAAAGCATCAAAAAGTGATGAATCGTTGCAAGAATGATCCTCTCCCCAACATCTTCTGCCAAGAGAAAGTAGGCAGTTGACCTTTTCTGCCTGGATTTGACTGTTGATTAATGCACTCTGCCAATGACATAGTTCTGAACTCTATTAAGCGTACTCACCCTCCTGTCTGCATCAGAAAGAGAAACAAATGATTTTAACACGTCTCAACATTTCTCAAGCTCCTGCATACAACTGCACCTAGGGTAGTCCTCTAAGACCTAGAAGTTGATTATGTGGATTAAATGAGTAAATATTTACAATGCTTTCAGAGTAGCACCTGGCACCTGGTAAATGCAATATATGTGTTTATTTATCAGCAGGGTAGGTCATTTCTCTAAGTCAAAACCAGAGGCACCTTGAGTCTCTCATGAAACTGCTGTATCTTGACAGTTACAGAGCACAGTCTGCACATTTTGAGTTGGGAAAGCCTGGCAGAAGCTCACAGACAGAAACCCACAGGTGCCAGTTGATTGGTTTCTAAGACTGTCCTCTATGTAAGTTGTCATATGTCCCTTTCTCTCTTTTTTTTTTTCCACTGGGCGGCTATAATTCTATTTCTCACGTGGCTCATTAGTTCCAGGGAGCAGTGAGCTATAGATTTTTGTACCTGCTAAGCAGCCGTGCGCTATCCACAGTCATGGATCATGCAAGCCTAGGCACAGATTATTTGCCCTCCACACCTGTCCCCTCCCCACAGTCTCATGGATGAACTAGGAAAGAGAAACAAGCTGAGGCAGAAGCACAGGAAATGTTCCAGAAGGGAATAGAATCCCAGATGCCAGGAGGGTGGGGAAACTACAGGACAGGGGTTGGTTTCCACCCTTAAGAGAGTTTTAATCGTTAGAGTCTAGCAGAAAGGAAGCAGGGAATCAGAGCCCAGCCTGCTTGTGACTCTCAATAACACATACATTTTACAATGCAACCCAGTACGCACGCACACACACACACACACACACACACACACACACACACACACAGAGTGATGCAACAGAAACAGGATTTTATAAAACAGTACATGTAGCCTATGTTCTTGTTTTATTCGATTTTGTTCTATTTCACCTCCTCTACTTCCTAACGCTTTTGTGACCCTCTAAGTTGATTTCCTAACTTCTCAGCGGAGCACAGTGTATACTATGC